AGAGTGTGTGTGTGTGTGTGTGTGTGTGTGTGAGTGAGTCTGTGTGTGAGAGAGTGTGTGTGTGTGTGTGTGTGTGAGTGTGTATGTGTGTGCTGGACACTCGCTGTCGGCTCGCCTGAGGGAGCCAGTGTGTCAGACACTAATGAGACAGACAGGAGATTTGCTGAGGCAGTCAGAGACAGACAGACAGACAGAGCTGCAGTCTCTGTATGAGTTTTCCCCAGCTCCACCTGTATAGATCTGCAACGAGGTGATTCATGTATGCTATATAGGGGTTATTTCATGTATGTTATATTTGCAGCAGCAGCAGCAGCCAAGACCAAATACATTAACATTATCATGCCAATCCCTCCGAGAGTTGTCATGACAGAAATGAAGACATGAGGAGACGTGAATGACTGGTGCAGTCACGTGATTCTGGAGTGCGGTCACATATCATCAAGTCAAACAGTAAAGGCCAGCAGTTACTGGATCTTGAACAGGTTAAATGTGTGTTTGCAGCAGATCAGTTTAAATCCCCGGCTGACAAAGATATATTCTGACAACATTCCTGCTAAGTTATGAAAATCTCATTTCTGAATGTTCTTTTTAAAACATCCTGCTTTTGTTTTGGTCATGCAAAGGGAACATTCCATTTTATCATTTTGTAAACATTATGGGAATGTTACTTTTGAATGTTCTCTGAACGTTCTGAAACAAACAGTAACATTTAAAAAAACATCAGATGAACGTCCAACTGATATGTTTCAGGCAAACCTTCCACAAACAATGTATAATGTTTTTGTGCTAATGTTTTGAGAACATTATTAAAGACCAGATAACTTTTAGCAAACATTTTGTTAATGTTAGGAATGTTAATTTATAACTTTGAGAGAGCGTTGCCAGACACCATTGGAGGAGAGCTGATGACATCACTGAATCATCAGTGAACTGACTCTTGTTGAAAATGACTTTATTATTGTCCTCTTGCATTATTAACAAGCTATTCTGCTGTTTAACACTGTAAAGCTGCTTTGACACGATCAGTATGGTATAAAGCGCTATAGAAATAAAGGTGACTTGACTTAAAAGATTATATTACATAATATGTTATAATCCCAAATACAGTTACATAAAAATGTCACTCGTGTTATATGTAGGATTTCTATTAAATATTGTCAATTTAAAAGCTAAATGTAACGTCCAACACCCAACAGCATGATTACAGTCATCGCTCAGTGAAGCTTAACTGAGACTTTTATGGAAATGGAAAGGGAATATAAGAATCAAACGCAGGTTATTCTCTGAGCAGACAGATCCAGCGTCTCATAAAGCTCCCGTCCTTCATCAGATCCTCTCTATTATCGACTGGCTCTTGATTCATAAAACATCCAAATCATTTTCAATTTAAATGTGTTTAATGGCACAGCAGCCAGAGTGCATGTCCTTATTCATCAGCATTACACTTACACAGGTATAAAGAATGAAACATGAACATGCTTGAAATATCATAGCATTAATATCTGTGTAGTTTTAAAACTAATGTAGGTTTTGTCTGAGGGAATGGAGGATCTACACATCATACATCATTAACGTGTTTGATCACACGCTTCACAGCTCAATATTTTAACTAGGTATTGCAGTCCCAATTCAAAATATTGGAGAGACGTGACGCACACGCAGGTTGCCAGATTGACGACACCAACAGGAACGAGCGCACTTGACGAGTTAGTTAGGCAACATCACACAACGTTTTCACCATTACTACTGTTCAATAAGCAAATACACTAATATTAGGTCACTTACATCTTATGCGGAAACACAGCGCACCTCACAGCAACCAGACGATTCATTGCTGAATAATTCCGTGTTTGGAACGAATCGGTTGAGTCAAAGTTTCATTAGCCCATGCATAAACATCTGAGGTCTCATTTATAAAACTCTCCATAGATTTCATCCTAAAAGTGTGCGTACGCTCAAAAGCTAGAAAAGTTTTCAGATTTATAAAACCATGCGTACGCCAGAACCTGCACAAAATCTCTTTATAAACCCCAGTCAGGGGAAGATGTGCGTACGTGCATCTCCTCCCCGATCACCATATACGGAGCTTACAACGCCTAGTTTTACTATGCATAACCTCATCTACATATCATTTACATGCACATTCCCATCCACGTGACTCCATGTTTAACACCGTCAAAGGCACAAGACGTTAAGGGAATATGAGATACGGACTATAAATGCCATTTGTGCCGTACACAATTTTTATTGCTAAAAATTTTTATTGCTAAAAATCATCCAGTATCCTTGTTATGTTTTAGCATAAATATATCAAAATCCATAAAAACAAAACGGTTTAAAATAGTTCTCAGATAAATATTTTAGAATAGAGTTGATCTCATTCTTTTCCACTGGCCGAATAGTATTTAAATTGTTTTAAACAATCTAAATCAAATTAAATTAATGCAGTTTTGCTGATAAGGATAACATCTTTTAGCTATTTTAGTGGAAACAGATATTTATTGGAGTGTAAATACAATTGTCTGACTCTGCACATCATTGACAAAAGTATTTTAAAAAGGAAATCTTACCGTTTTCTTCGAGTTGTATCCTTCAAACACTATCCTAATGTTGTGGAGATGCTTCACACGACATCAACAGGTGCAGCTGTGGTTGTACAGTAAGCTATTATCACTGGACCTGTTCACACTGAACAATAGACTGCTCCACTGAATCCAGCAGTGTCCGCTGCAATATCGAAGTAAGCACGCATCATGATCATTGTTCTCACTAAAAATATTTTCTCATAACAAGTGATCTGCAGTTTAATTTAAAGAGGAATTATTGTGCGCATAGCACTCCTCGCTGGCATTAAAACAGCATGCCACAGGAAAACTGATCAAGCGCATCCAATATAAATAGGCTGTCTAAATTCATATAATTTTGGTTTAACTTCTGTGTAATGACTTTATGTAATTTCAGTTATGTAATTTCTCCATTAATGAGAGTGGAATATTTAATGTAAATGTGTATATCGACATGAAAACTGAGTTTGAAATCATTGTTTACTTCATTACTTTTCTCTCTCCAGGAAAAAAAGTCCGTACGCATGGGTCAGAGTTTGCGTGCAGGTGCGAACATTTCCCGTCAAGTGTGTTTTTTATAAATCCCACCTTTTGCGCAGGACGCGGCGTATGGCTCTTTCGGGGCAGGTTTTGTGCGTACGCGACTCACTCATCAAACGCTCACTACTGGCACCTACTGGCCTTTTAATTTAGTTTAAAAGTATCATTTCCACCATCATTTCTTGTTTGTATATTAAAAAAATATATAATATTATTTAATGCAGTTGTATTTTTTAGTGTAAATGACTTAATCTGATAACGTATAGATAACATTATTATAATTGAATTTATAGATCAAATGTAAGAATTTCAAATGAAAGTATTAATGAGATTAGTGGGAAAATGCCCTCTATAAAGGTAAAAAAAAAGCCCTTGGATAAAATATAAAAAACACGCACATTTATATGTGCTGATGGAAAACTGATGAGAATATTGCTTCAGAATAAATCATATTTGCAA